CATGATGTATCATTCCATTATCTGATGACTCACAACACATACACATCTCTCTATTCGGTCACTCATGATGTATCATTCCATTATCTGATGACTCACAACACTTATACACATCTCTCTATTAGGTCACTCATGATGTATCATTCCGTTATCTGATGACTCACAACATTTATACACATCTCTCTATTCAGTCGCTCATGATGTATCATTCCGTTATATGATGACTCACAACACATATACACATCTCTCTACTCGGTCGCTCAAGATGTATCATTCCATTATCTGATGACTCACAACATTTATACACATCTCTCTATTCGGTCACTCATGATGTATCATTGAGTTATCTGATGACTCACACATTTATACACATCTCTCTATTCGGTCACTCATGATGTATCATTCCGTTATCTGATGACTCACAACATTTATACACATCTCTCTATTCGGTCGCTCGTGATGTATCATTCCATTATCTGATGACTCACAACGTTTATACACATCTCTCTATTCAGTCGCTCATCGTGTATCATTCCGTTATCTGATGACTCACAACACTTATACACATCTCTCTATTAGGTCGGGGAATGATACATCATGAGCGTTTTGGGAATAATATGTACGTCATTTGATCAGAGCCATCGTATTATATAAACTCCAAGAGGCAGAAAGCTCTTTTGGGAGACATATATGTATCGTTTGGACAGAGCCATCCTAAAAATGACCTCAGATAGTAGAAATATATTTTTTAAAGCCATGTTTCTATTGTTTGGTAAGAGTTCTTCTCGAGTGATTAGAAAACTTTTTGGGAGGTATATTTGTATCGTCTGGTCAGAGAAATCCTATACATTTAACCTCAAGTGGTAGAAAGCTTTTTGGGAGGTATATTTGTATCGTCTGGTCAGAGAAATCCTATACATTTAACCTCAAGTGGTAGAAACCTTTTTGGGAGGTATATTTGTATCGTCTGGTCAGAGAAATCCTATACATTTAACCTCAAGTGGTAGAAAGCTTTTTGGGAGGTATATTTGTATCGTCTGGTCAGAGAAATCCTATACATTTAACCTCAAGTGGTAGAAACCTTTTCGGGAGGTATATTTGTATCGTCTGGTCAGAGAAATCCTATACATTTAACCTCAAGTGGTAGAAACCTTTTGGGAGGTATATTTGTATCGTCTGGTCAGAGAAATCTATACATTTAACCTCAAGTGGTAGAAACCTTTTCGGGAGGTGAATTTGTTTCATTTAGATAATCTCACACTTGAAGGGTTGTATTTCACAACGAACAGATTGAGCTTGGAGTTTTATTTGTTTACCCAAACACGCTATTTATAAACAATCATAAATCCACAGATTTCTACAAAAAGATAATAACAACTAAAACACAACAAAATCAAGTTTATAAAACTGTAAAAAAGTATTTTTCCAATGTTCTTTTTGATCGTTTTTTACCTGGTTCTTTGTGTTTTGTCTTCTTCACAACTCAGTTCAATGCAGAGTTACAGTTTACGTACGTATTCACATTAAAAATATCCATTTTCAGATAAATAAAGAGAATATATATATATATTTATATATTTCTATGTGTGCCATTACCCATTATTCCAAAACGTTTCTCTGGTAATGTTTATTTCAACAGTATTGAGAAAGTCCTCGCAGTTAAAAGTTGGAAAGAAGTACTGACCAACCAACATATTAAAACATTATGCTAATCGAAGTTATGAATGAACCAATCCTTTTAAAAATGAAATAATTTTCGTTATTGAGTGAGAGGTTTATTTAACCAATGACAAACCTTGTTGACGAGATAAAGGGGAAACACCGTTATCTAAGGTGTAACCATGACTACCTGACATGGACTTCACCTCCTGCATACCGATCGGAGTCAGGGGGGTCAAGGAGCCGCTTCCTATGGAAACAAAACAACAATTATCACAATAGGACTTCTGAAGATCGTTGAACATGTGGGGAGGAACTGGGGGATCCCAAAAAGACGGAAGTGTTATTTTGACCGATAGGGTGCGCATAGATTGTTAATTCTTATAAGTATCAGTGAAAGTCAGAAGATTCAATCAACAAGATGTCATTCAATAATGGAATATAGTCATTAGGTTTCTACATAGAAAGAAAGAGCAAGCGAAAAGTTTCTTTTATAAAAATCAACAAGTTTGTAAAACAACAAAGCTTCTTTCCCGGTAATGATTTTTAGAAAATATTATAAATCATGCAAGTGATTATACTCGACACACTAGTTTGTTCATATAAAAGGCTTAGGATTATTAATTATATGCTCTTTCTTTTATGAGTTATTGCGAATCTTTCATATAAAGTTGTCCATGGATACAAAATGAAGCATTTCCAGTGTGATTATAAGATATAACAAAGGCATTTAGCAATACGTAGGAAGTTTACTATGTTATTAATAATCACACGAGCGGGACATCTGGTGGTCAAAAAGATTCAACACTTTTCAAACCATCTTTATTAAATAAAACTTCTTAGAGATAACGTGTTGACGGACAAGAGTTTTTTTTTATTAAGTTATATGTTTTTTCAGTCATATTGGTATATTTAGCTGTGAAATAACTTCTATTATGATGTTCTTTTAAGGCCTGTTAGTCTAACGTATTCTTCTTGAGAAATATGATATATTAATGGAAGATAACAACATTTATTGATAACAAAACAAATGAAAGCTCACAAAATACATCATGAGCGACCTAATAGAGAGATGTGTATAAATGTTGTGAGTCATCAGATAACGGAATGATACACGATGAGCGACCGAATAGAGAGATGTGTATAAATGTTGTGAGTCATCAGATAACCCTTCTACCATCTGAGGTTAATTTAATAAAGTAATTCTGTCCAAACGATACAAATCATCCTTTATTCCCAAAACGCCTTCTACCATCTGAGGTTAATTTAATAAGGTAATTCTGTCCAAACGATACAAATCATCCTTTATTCCCAAAACACTAATTAAAGATAACAATCTAGTTAGCATGTAAACTTACCGAAACCACAATTAAATATAACAGTCTAGTTAGCATGTAAACTTACCGAAACTAATTAAAGATAACAATCTAGTTAGCATGTAAACTTACCGAAACCACAATTAAAGATAAAAGTCTAGTTAGCATGAAAACTTACCGAAACTACAATTAAAGACAACAATCTAGATAGCATGTAAACTTACCGAAACTAATTAAAGATAAAAGTCTAGTTAGCATGTAAACTTACCGAAACTAATTAAAGATAACAATCTAGTTAGCATGTAAACTTACCGAAACAACAATTAAAGATAAAAGTCTAGTTAGCATGTAAACTTACCGAAACTAATTAAAGATAACAGTCTAGTTAGCATGTAAACTTACCGAAACCACAATTAAAGATAACAGTCTAGTTAGCATGAAAACTTAACGAAACTAATTAAAGATAACAGTCTAGTTAGCATGAAAACTTACCGAAACTAATTAAAGATAACAGTCT